AGGTCAAGCAAGACCAGGTGCACAGGAACAGTCTTAATCACATAATTTGTCTTCAGGCAGGTTATTCCATCCTAAGCCTGATGGAAAGTTCCTATCACCCCATCCATTCTGGACCTAACCAAAAGTATCCACCTAGCCTAGCTCCCCAGTAATTACAGCCTGATTTAATCCTTTGCTTCCTTGGTAAGCCCTGTAAGGCCCGCTCCTGAATGGCAAGCAGACTCCGCTCCTGAATGGCAAGCAGACTCCGAGCAGACTCCACCTGCCTCGCAGCAAAGTCTCCACCCAGTACCTGCATTACCTAGGCAACTGGCACACCTGGAAGAGGTCACACCTGCATCTGCTGAGGTCACATCTGAATTGGATGTGGCCATACCTTTCTCCGCCCATACCCTAGATAAGGCCTAGCCCAGGCCCAGACGCCCTCTCTCTGCTCTCTCTGCTCTTTTCTAGCTCTTTCTCAACTCTCTCTTCTCTTTCCCAGCTCTCTTCTCTTTCCTAGCTCTCTCTTTCCCACCTTTTCCAGACGTGCTCTCTCTCTGCTCTTTTCTAGCTCTCTCTTCTCTTTTCTAGCTCTTTTCTCTCTCTTTCCCAGCTCTCTCCCTTTCCCCACCATGTGGAGGACCAAGATGGCCTGGTGCCAGCCGGAACGATGAATAAACCTACCCCTTACCTGAATACCACGTGCGGGCTGCTGTTCTTACTCAGCAATCTCTTTAAAAACCTAACAAGCCCTATATAAGCCAACCCCCAAATCCAGTCCCTCTCACAACCCCCAAACCTATGGGAAGGTCTATGCCACTTGCTCTTCCTAAACAAACAGTCCTTGCCTCTTGACAATCAAGTCTGGCCTATTCCTTTTCCATTCTCCTCCATTTTTCCTTACAGCAAAAACCTATAAATAACAACAACAAAACAAAGAACTGTCCAATTAAAGAGAAAGAGCATAGAAAGCCTCATTTTTGCCTAGGAGAGCTTTTATTTTCTCCTACATAGCTAATAACACAGATGGCAATACTCATTGGAGAAAAGCCACAAGCTTAAGCAACTCAAGAGGCCAGCCCTCCCTTCTTAGCTGGGTAACTGGTCTGTTCACACAGACATCTGCCATTGCTGAGCACTGAACTCAGTTCACTAGCCTTCCCTGAATACCAGAGGACCTCTATGGATCCCATGCATTGCTTTGCTCTCATTGCCTTTTTCATTTCATAGTATTAAATACCTGCTTATTGGGCATTGACTACTTATCCTTTGTATTTGCAGTCTTTTTCTCAAATCATGAAAGGTGGTATCAAGAGCCCTATTTTACAGTTAAGGAAAATAAGTTTTAGGCAGCATATAAACCAAGAACCAGAAATGTTGCTGAAATGAAAAACCCAATTCAAAATTGCTTATGCATGTTATTCTGTCTAGGATTGGGGCCATTGTCTCAATTCAATGAAGAATTAAAGAAAAAGACATAAGTTGAAAGCAAAAATTAGTGGACTCCTCAGAAGAGTAGTTCCACCAGACAGAAAATTATGAGGCAGGAAAAATGGGAGGAAGGCAAAGTTTATTTGTAAGTAAGAGTAAAGTACCAGAGGCAATTGAGGAAATGCCTCTTAGCTATTGGTAGGTTGATATAAGCCCCCAACTAGATTGCCCAACTGAGTAGGCCACCTTATACCAAATGAGGTCATATCCACCTGCTTCCTAGGCAAGGAAGAGGAGGAAAGCACAGACTTTGGGAAACATTAAATGGCAAAGAATAGCATTTTAGTTTTACATACTTATTTAAATGATGATCATTTGGCAGACCTTGACATAAACCTTTAAGCAATTACTTTACTTTCATAGATGATCATAAGGAATGGGATGCTGCTTTTACACCAGTGTATTAATCTTGACTGTAGGAAGAATCTTTAGACAACTTTTTTAAATGATAGCCAAATTAATTGCATATTGACTTCATTAACTTTACTAATAAGCTCTACTTTATAAATTTAAGACATACTCATACCATCTGCTACTTACTGGAACCTTCTGGGATTTGTCTTAATTTTTCTCTTTTCCCATTTTGGAACAAACATTTAAGACAATTCTTACTTTCCAAATCCTTTCTTATCCAAAGGAAACCATTTTTGTTTCCTCAATTTCCCTTTCCACAGTTTTATTTACTAACTTTCCTCTTTCCTTACATTTCCTAATCTTACTGTTTGTTTTTTTCCCCCTTAATTTGTGTTTTGGATTAACTCTCTAAAAAAATTTCTTTTTTAAAATTTTTTTAAATTTTTTATTTTTTGTGAACACACTGTACAGAGGGGTTACAATTACATGGGCAGGTTAATGTGTACATTTCTTATCAAGCATTGCAACCTCCTCCTTTGTTTACCCTTCACATCACTTCCCAGCCTCCCACCCACCCCCCCCCCACCCCCGCTAAAAAAATTTCTGAACAAATGTTCGCACCCAAATAAAACTGCCACCCCTTCCTCCCCTTTTAACTTGCCTGCCACAAGGCAATTCACGGTTACTCTACCCACAGCCAGGCTGTCCAGGCAGAGCAGCTTGCTCGGGGGCCAGAGTACCTGTCAAGTGGTTTTCCTACAGCCTAGCTCCTGCTGGGTATCTCCTTCTCATTTTGCTCCATTAGACTCTTGAGTGCAGGCTGTTTCCTTGTCACTAATCTTGGGTTTGGCTTGTTTGTTTAGATCCCTACTTTTGCCTTTATCTTTCATTCAAAATCCACTTGAATTGTATTTCCTACCAGAAACTTGAATCATAAATATGACCATTATAGGATTTATATTTTAAAGTATCTATTTATCCTAATCTGCCTATAAAAATATAAAGCATTCCAGAAGATTGGAATGAAGTACAAATTTAATGTTGAGTTATCACTGGGAAATAGTCGAGGACTTCCCTCAGCTTCCCAGTTTCCACACAAAACCAAAGGTCCTTGAGATTAACACAGGCAAAGAATTTCATGGTGTCTCACAAAAGGAGACTCTCACAAAGTAGTGAGTGTTTTAGCAAAGGTTTATTTTAGTATGACAAGGTTAAAGTAGGAAGAAAAGTTCCTTGTTCTCCATGCAGGAAATTGGAGTTAAAGATTCAAAATGGCAGCTGTTCCCTGCTGCGTTTACTCTTTCTGAGCTGGTGAGGTAGGGGGAAAATACTGTAGACCTGTGTAGCAGCTCCAACCCTTAGGCAATGGTTTTGTGTATCCAAAGTAGCTGTTACTTATTATTCTAAAATGTGAAGATTTCTGTGGGTCTACCCAAACACAGAGACAATATAAGCTTTAGGGTTTCCTTTCCTTTCCTAAGCTTTTCAACTTAGTGTCTCTATTCTTTTCACAGAGTTTTTACCATTTCCAAGGAAAGTCCAGTTTTAGATAGTTCATCCCCCTTAGTCTCCAAGACATTGTAGTATAACATATATATCTATATCTATCTATCTATCTATCGAGAGAGAGAGAGAGAGAGAGAGAGAGAGAGGAAGGCTTAACTGCTTTGTTATTTGCTTTCTGGTTCCTACTTCAGAGTCTAGCATTTTTTCTATTCATTAAAAATAATATAATTTCCCTGTCCCCTCCCCTATCCTGAGACTGAGGGATTCCTCCTCACTTTCCCTATCTAGTCAATTTAACTTTTTTTTTTTTTTTTGCTAGTCATAGGCCTGAACTGTGGGCCTAGGGGTTGTGCCTCAGCTCTTCAGCTCAAGGCTAGCACTTTTTACTTGAGCCACAGTGCCACTTCCAACTTTTTTCTGCTCATGTGGTGCTGAGGAATTGAACCCAAGGCTTCATGCATGCAAGGCAAGTGCTCTACCACTGAGCCACCTTCCCAGCCCCTTAACTCTGAGAGTTTATGTGAAGGATTGACTCCTGCCTTATTCCCCAGGGTCAAGCAAAGCACCAGGCACATGCTCAGGTGCTTGTCTGCAAGAAGGTCATTCTGACCTTGCTTCCCCCCCCCCGAGACAATAGCCCCCTTACCCCAGGTGGAGCATTCCACTCTGGGCCTGGCCAAGGATACTACCCTTGGCCTGCAAGATGCCATAGCCCATTTTTATTTTCTGCTTCCTTGTTAAAACCTATATAAGCCCACCCCCAAGTCCTCACACAACCTCCAAACCCGAGGGAAGGTCTGTGCCCCTCACTGGCAATAAACAGTTCTAGCTTGTTGATGATTGAGTCTGGCCTATTCCATTTCCATTCTCCTCCATTTTCCTAACAATATGTAACATTAATTTAGAGGCACATTAAAAGTCTGATTCTGGGGCTGGGAAGGTGGCTCAGTGGTAGAGTGCTTGCCTTGCATGCATGAGGCCCTGAGTTCAATTCTTCAGCACCACATAAGCAGAAAAAAGCCAGAAGTGGTGCTGTGGCTCAAGTGGTAGAGTGCTAGCCTTGAGCTGAAGAGCTGAGGGACAGCACCCAGACCTAGAGTTCAAGGCCCATGAGTGGCAAAAAAATAAAATAAAATAAAAGTCTGATTCTAAAGTTGTTCTTTGATGTGAAGAGGAAGATATATAATGACCTGATATGGTGGAGGAGGTAAAGATGGAATATGATATTTGACTTGGATTGTGTAAAATGGATAATGAATGATTTTTAAGATATAAATGTAAGTGTGCTGTGGATAAGACTTCCCTGGTAACTCATTACTTTAGCTAGTAACTGTAATTGTAACTCTGTAACTCCCTAACCCTGTAACTCTGCTTCTGCTGGGTTTTGAGCAATAGGAGCCCTAACCCAGCGGAATCATCACCACCCTTTGTTCTATTTCCCTGCTTCCCACAAGCAAAACCTTGGCGGGGAAACTTAAGGTGTGCATTTCTTGTAACAATCATTGGCTAAAACCAACACCCAGCCTCCCCCTTTCCCCGCCCTAGCCCCAAATGCTTAAAAGACCATATGGGCTGGCACTTGGGGCCATTTCCTGGGAGCCCAACTCCAGGTGTGATCCTGGCATGTCAGCACTTGTCGCTCAATAAAATCTTTTACATTTTCACTGAGGACTGAGTGGTCTCACTGCCCCTCCCCACTACAGACCCACTCCCTGTATATAATGACCCACAGTTCTCACCCCTGATTTGGCGACGCCTAACTGGAAACTGCCAGTAAACAACTTGCAAAAGCTAATAGCTGACACTAGGTGGCAGCACACTCACCCATGTGGTGCTCACAGAAACCCATTAGTAATCCAGTCGGCTAGATCCTCTATATATTCACTATTCACAGCCCAGCACAAACCAGCTATCCTGCCAGCTCTCTACTCTCAAATTAGATTTTTTTTTTCATACTCCTCAGTACAGAAGCAGCGTGGGAAATTTTAGTGCCTTGAGTATTTGATCTTCCCCAACTTGGGAAAGTTTCTGTTTAGATCTCTTTCCACTGGTCTTCTCTCAGTGTACACTGAGCTGAACATCCATGCAACCACAAGGGTCTGTCCTCCCCATCCCTTTTGAACTTAACAAACAAGATATTAATAAAAATCCTTGTATTTATAAGATCATTTAATTACAAGTAGCTGCAGCTCTGTACACGCTAACTTAAGCCAAATATAAAGATATTGAATAATGCATTTAGGCATTATTTAGATAGTGCATTTAGACACAATTGTATCTACAAAAAGGTTCAGGCAGGCTGTGGCTCAAAAAAAGTCATCAGGTATCTATTTATCTCCACCCCTCACTGCCCCTTCTCTCTGGCACAATCTTCCAAGTATGGAAAGAAATAGTCCTCAATTTATCTTACCCCCAAACTCATCACCAAATGAGTCCCATAGGGGAGGCCTGGGACACAACACACCCAATATGACAATGTGATGGTCCCATGAAAATGATGGATATTGATTTTTTTTTAAATTAAAGATACTGTCACCGGAAGGACCAGCCAAATCAGCCAATGCCTAGGGTAACTAGACAGCTAGTTCTCTTGCCTAAAAGTACTTCCAGCCCTCCAGCTTTGTTTCTCTATAAAACAAAAGTTCTGTTTATTCAATATCTGGGTCCTTCAATCACATACTCTTAACATCCTGTTCTTTTCCTTCAAAGCTCTGATTACATAGTTCAAGATTGCATAGTGATATGTGTGATTATTAACCTAGTGTGTAACTTTCCACTAGATTATAATCTTCAAAGGATCAAGGTCTTGGTGTCCTCAGAGCTTAGTAAAGTTAGTAGCACTTAGTAGGGACACAATAAATACATTTAATTCAATGACTTGATAATTATCTATTAGACTCCAAGGACAGTAAGTCTAATTGGGCATTGTTCCTTCCTAGTTTCTACCCCAATGAGGCACACTAACATGTAAATCAACTATTACAATGCACTGTAACTCTTTCTCCAACAATAGTGAAATCTAGGGAACAGGGGGGTAGAATAGCTAAATTAAAGGGATCTAGGAAAGTTTCTCAGCGGAGACAGGATGCAGGTCCAACCTTAGAAAAATAAAAGAAGGCAGAGTAAGGGAAGTGGGGGAGGGAAGGGATAGTGGGGGAACACTAAAAGAGGGGGTAAAAATGCTCAACAAGAAATGTACTCATTACCTTACTCATGTAACTGTAACCCCTCTGTACAGCATCTTTACAATAAAATAAAATTAAAAAAAAGAAAAATAAGAAGGCATTATTATACCAGCTGCTGGTGGCTCATGCCTATAATCCTAGCTCCTCAGAAAGCTGAGATCTGAGGATTGAAGTTCAAAGTTAGCTCAGGCAGGAAAGCCTATGAGACTCCTCTCCAATGAACTACCAGTAAGCCAGAAGTGGAGCTGTGGCCCAAGTGATATAGAGCACTAACCTTGTCAAAACAAGCATAGGACAGTGCATAGGCCCTGAGTTCAAGCCCTAGGATCCATGCACATATACATAACAAAACAACAACAAAAAGGTATCAGCAAGATGAAGGACAATAAGTAGGTCTTCTAAAGCACATTGGAAAGTCCGTGAGACTCTTATCTCCAGTAAACCACTACAAAACTGAAAGTGGCACTGTGGCTCAAGCGGTAGAGCGCTTGCTTGAGCTGAAAAGTGCAGGGACAGTACCCAAGCCCAGAGTTCAAGCCCCAAGACCGAAAAAAAAACCAAGAAAGAAAAAGAAATAAAGGTGTAAGGTATATTAAATAGGTAGGTTTCATTAGGTAGCCAATGAAGAGAACACCATACGCTATTCAGGCAGGAAAAGAAGCTTATTTACCAAACTGCTGCCCCCCACCATGCATGATGGAGAAGCATGGCTGAAAAGAGAAAGGGGGGGGGGGGGGGAGAGGGCAACCCACCTCTGGGCCAGGACTTATCTAGGCCTGGGACAGGAAGAGGTGTGGCCAGGTGGGGGAAGAGGTGTGGCCACACTGGATCTGGATGTGACCTCCTAGGGTCAGAGGGGAGGCATGTGACCAGAGGTGCCCAGGATATGACCTAGCAGGAGGGGAAGGTGACTGCTTTCAGGTCTGCCAGTTACCTAGGTAACAGATACTGGGCAAAACTTAGCCAAAAGGGAGGGAGGTGTCCCTGTGCAGACTTTACAAAAGAGTGAAATAAATTACTTTCAAGCAAGAAGCTTTAAATAACGATGTCTATATAGAATAAAAATGAGCTCAGCTTCAAATACCATTTGCTTCCAGGATCTGAGAGTGTTACTAAGAAAGGGAGGGGAGGAAGATTGAGGGAAATAAGATGCCATGCTAGGACACAGATACAGAGAATTCAAGATTTGGGGTTTGAAATTGTCACTAGAAAATAGCTGAAGGCTTCCCTAAGCTTCCCAGCTTTCACATAAACCCACAGATTCTTGACATCCACACATAAAAAGAATTTTATGTTGTCTCACAAAAAAGGAGAGTCTCACAAGGTAAAAGATTTATCAAAGAGTTATTTTGTGCCAGGTTGTAGTGGCTCACACCTAGCTAGTTAGAAGGTTGAGATCTGAGGTTCAAAGTTCAAAGCTAAGCTGGGCACCAGCGGCTCAATCCTAACTACTAAGGAGGCTGAGTACTGAGGAGGCTGAGAACTGAGACTCTTGGTTTGAAGCCAGCCTGGGCAGGAATGTCTGTTAGTCTCTTATCTCCAATTAACCACCAGAAAGCCAGAAGTGGAGCTGTGGTTCAAAGAGGTAAAGTATTATCCTTGAGTGAAAAAGCTCAAGGACAGTGCCCAGACCCTGGGCTCAAGCCCCACAACTGACAATAAAGCCAGACTGGGCAAGAAAGTCTATGTGACTCTTAGCTCCAATTAACCACCAAAAAGCCAGAAGTGGAGATGTGGCTCAAGTGGTAGAGTGTTAACTTTGAGTAAAAAAGCTAAGGGGCAGCAGCCTATGCCCTGAGTTCAAGCCCTATTACCAACACAAAACAAAAAAATATTCATTTTAATATAATGGGATTAAAAGTAGGGCAAAAAAAAAAAAAGAAAGAAAAACATTTTCTGCTCCCCATGAAGAAATGTCTCAAAATGGTAATGAAGTAGGCCCTGAGAGGAGACACGAGCTGGTACAGCTTCTTTCTGAAGTACCCCATTTTCGGATGCCCCCTCACAGACCACCAGAGACCACGATCAATGCAAACAGCAGAGAGTCGTTTAGTGCAGGCTTGAGCTTGGTCCTCCACGCACTCGGTAACCGGTGACGCTAAGAGGCCCCAAGCATAAAATCAGCACAGTTTTTATACTATTGAACAAACAACTTTAAGGAACTTTTACATAAGAAATTACATGATTGGTTAACATTTAAAGCAAGCTAAGTTGGGCAAATATGATTGGTTGACCTTTACAGAAAAATGTCCTTGGTCCATAGCTTGACCAAAAACAGTTATGAGTCACAGCTGGAGCAACAGAATGCATGGCATGTCTCGCCCTGGGCTCTGAAGACCCGGTTGGTCAGAAAATTATCCGAACTGAAACTCTTAGCCCTAGGTTGCTGGGGGGCAACACCACTTGGGGGTAATCACCTGCTTCCACTGAAGGCTAGTTTTGGATCCTTACTTCTTTCATTTCCCACTTTCTATAAAGGCCCAGGGAGCCAATCATGGATCCCTCGGTTGCAACTCCATGTGAGGGCCAGTTTTGGTGAGTGGCTGGTATTGGGTCCGCAGCACCACCAGCTGTACCATGTTAATTCTTTCTTTAATAAAAGATAAAACCTTGTTAATTACACAGGGTCCAATAGTGTGGGCAAGTAAAAGGAGTATTAGGGGTCCCGGGAGGGCAGAAAGCAGAGTAGTCAACCACGGTGAGATGTTGAACCAGACTCAAACCACCCTTGAGACTCTTTTTGCCTTTTTTCACATTCATCTAGTCTCTTATTTAGGGCCGCAAGGCTGTTTTTTTTTTTTTTTTTTTTTTTTTTTTTTTTTTTTTTTTTTATTGTAAAGCTACTATACAGAGGGTCACAGTTACATGAGTGAGGTTATGAGTACACTTCCTCTTGAACATTGTTACCCCCTCCATTGTTTTCCCCCTACCATCCCCTCCCTCCCTCCCTTCCCCGAGGTTCTTTTTTTTTTTTTTTTTTTTTTTTTTGATTGTGATTAAATGATTACATAATTTCAAAGTCACAAGTTCATTCTAACTTCCCTGGAGCAAATTGTCTACCACAGTCTGTAATATATAACAGTGTTCACATGTTATATACCATATTTGTGATCAGCAGCATGAGGATATTTAGTAGTGGTTCAACCAGATGAGCGGGAGTTCTTTGTTTCTTAAGTCCTGTTAGTTTTGTCGTATCACTAACCTTTTGGATTTAGCATCCACTTATGAGGGAGACCATGTACCGTTTGTCTCTTCGTTCTTGGCTTACCTCGCTCAACATGATTCCTTCTAGCTCCATCCATTTCCCTGCAAATGCCATTATTTTGTCATTTCTAATGGCTGCATAATATTCCATTGTGTATAGATACCACAATTTTTGGATCCATTCATCTGTGGTGGGGCACCTAGGTTGTTTCCATATCCTAGCTATTGCGAACAGTGCTGCAATAAACATGGAGGTGCACGTGTCCTTGTATATTGGTTCCTGTTGTTC